CCGCGCAGATTCCACCTGCCACACCCCGACCCACAAGCCACAACCCCTGAGGGTGCTGCACCTAAGGAAGTGAACTGCCCACCTATGTGGAGAAAGACGCTGGGGCAGCCCTGCGTCCTGCGTCCGGACGCAGCGTCCGGACGCAAAGACGCAGGACGCGCATCCGGACGCAGGACGCACCCTGGAAAATTTTTCGGGCAGACCGAGATTTTTTTTTTTCGCGATCGCGAAATTGACATTCGCGATTTCGTCGCGAATGTCAATTTCGCCGAAATTCGACACCCCCCAAGCAAATTCGACCCCCAAAACCAGCCATCTAATTCACCCCTAACCCCCTCCCCTTTTTGCAAAATTGATTTGGAAATCCAACCCCTCTCCACCACTCCACAACTAGGAAACCCAACCTTTGTGGTCCACCACCCCCACAAAGCCCATTTAGTTCATGAAACCTCTCATTTGTGCTCCCTTTTCTCACAACCCAATTTTCTTTCAAAAACCCTAGTGGTTTTAGCTCTTTTCCGCGCACCACCGTTATGGCTAGCTCCTTGTGTTCGCGACCTTGTGTTCGTTGCGCACAACTGGAACGTTGTGCACAACCACCACAAGGGTGCGGCGGGTGCGGGGCCGAGTGGGGAAGTCAGGAAGGCGGGAATAGTGGAGGGGAACATTCCCCCCCGACCCCTTCCCGAGGGGTACAAGCTTGAGGAGGATGGAGAGGTGGAGGTGGATGAGGATAACCTCACCTTCGACGAGTACAAGGAGCAGGAGGATTTGGAGAAGGAGGAGGAGAAGGGGATGGAGAGCGAGGAGGATGAGTGATGCATGTTAGTTAGTGGTAGTATGCATGCATGCTAAACAACCCTTGGACTAATTGTGATTATGGAAATTTGGGGCTCACCTTCATGTTCTATTGTTGTGGCTGAAATTTTGTTGTTGAGGAGAAATTTTGCTATGAAAGTGTGTTCCCCCCCCCCCCCCCCCCCCCCTCTTACCCCCTCTTCCCTCTGCCCTATAACTTTTTTTTGGCTGCCCGGGGGGTTTTTTTTGGCTGCCCGGACCTGCGTCTTTTGCTGCGTCTCGGGGGCCCTAAACTAGCGTCCAGCGTCTGGACGCATGCGTCCAGGACGCTGGACGCGTCTTTCTCCACATAGCTGCCCACTTGCTCCCATGCTTCCCACCTACCATGCAGCCATGCAGAGCGCCATGATGCCTGAGGCTGCTGGGAAGTGGGAGGAGGGGGGGATTATCAGAGGGAGGGACTCCACTGTGGTCCAGGCAGGGTGCTGCTGGGAGGGAAGGGAAAAGGGAGAGAGGAGGAGGTGAGTGAGAGGGTGGACTCCACTCTCCGCCATTGCTCCAGTGCTCCCACCCTCAGGCTGCAGGAAAGAAAAAGGTGAGAAAGAGAGGGGAGGGGATCAGATCACCATACCTTACCTGGTACCCATACCAAACCTTTTACCACACCTCCCCACACCTTGACCTAGCCTAGCCTAGCCCCCCACCCCCCACTGCTGCTGCTGCTGCTTCTGCTGCTGCCGATCTGCTTCTCAGCTTCCTCTGCTACAGTCTTCCCTTGATGCCAAGTGACCTGGTAGCGGGCATAGAAAATGGAGAGGGGTGACAGGAGAGGAAAAACAGGAGGAACTGGTGAGTTGGCAGAAACAGATAAGAGGCTTAAACTGACAAAACGAGTATGGAAAGAACAAAGGGACAGTTGCAGAAGAGAGAGAACTCGAGGGAAGGAGGGATGAGGCCAAGGACGCAGCTGACGCACCTTGAGAGGCCAAGCCCACCCCATACCATACTCTCCCTCGTGGCAGCGATTGAAGTCTGCTGCAGTGCTGCCTCCCTCCCATCCCCATGCATACCTGCACGGCCACAGGGGAGGGGGGTGGGGGAGAGGCAGTGTTGACCCCCACACTCCTCCCCTCTACCTGCAAGGCACACTAGCAGAGCTGGTCAGTGGGCAGCGAGGGGACGAAGGGTGAAACTGCTACAGCAACAGCAACAGCAACAGCAACAGCAACAGCAACAGCGAAGCTGGAAGGAAAGTGAGAGGGGAGGGGCCACTGGTGGAGGCACAGCCACAATTCACAGAACCATATGGCAACCTGAGAGGTGAACCTTATGGGGGGAACCTGAGGGGGGAACCTGAGGGACGAACTTGAGGGAGGGAACCTGAGGGGAGGAACCTGAAGAGGCTGTAAGGCTGTAGGGAGTGCTGAACCTGAAGGGTTTACCTGGACGAGGGGGAAGATGTTCTGTGACTTGTGAGCCGGGCCCCAACCAGTGGCGAGATTTTATGGAAAACGAGCAAGGGTGCACATGAGATGCAACAGTAAAACCAAGGAAGGAGCGGCCAGGTGGGAGAGAACACTTAACTGAGAAGTTGGAGCTGAAAGCGCAGGACTGCTGTGGGGAGCGCGAGTTGACCCAGCAGCGTGCTTCCAAGGCGCCTTAGCCGCCGCCCCCCTCCCTCCACCGGCACTGCCCCTGCTGCTGCCACTTTGAGAAGCAGCGGCGCAGGGAAGGAGAATCTGCCAGGCAAGCAGGCAAGGGCGGGAGGAGGAGAGAGTGAGGGCATGGCGAGGATTCAGGTTGAGTGTGGGTGGGGGGGGTAAGAGCATGGCATGACAGGAGATGGGACATGGTGCAGTGCCAACACGCCCACCACAGGAGCCAAGTACCAAACCTTCACCTTCTACCTGAACCATAACCTGAACCTTTACCTGAAAAGAAACCTGAACCTTCACCTGAAAAGAAACCTGAACCTTTACCAAGGGAGGAGGCTCTGTGGACCAAGGGTGTGGGCTTATCTTTATGTGGAGCGTTGATGGTGCTTTGTTGTGCCTTCCTCCTGTGCCTTGCTGCTGCGCCTTGCACTCTAGTAGAGGCTTGGAGAAGCGAGCCTGACAGTCAGGGAGGGATAATGTGCGGACGGGGGGAGGGAAGAGGGGGGGGAAGAGGGGAGGGAAGAGAGGTGGGAAGAGAGGAGGGAAGAGAGGAGGGAAGAGGGGAGGGAAGAGGGGAGGGAAGAGGGGAGGGAAGAGGGGAGGGAAGAGAGGAGGGAAGAGAGGAGGGAAGAGAGGAGGGAAGAGGGGAGGGAAGAGAGGAGGGAAGAGAGGAGGGAGCGGAAATGAGTGAAGGGAAGCTATGGAGTAAACACGGGGCGGAATGCGTGCATGTGCAGTGGGTGATGGTGAGAACATGGGATGGCATGAGATGGTCACATGGGGCAGGTGCAGCGACAACACTCCCTCCACAGGAGCCGAGTACCATACCTTCACCTTCCCACCTGCACCATAACCAGAACCACTATACCTGGAAAGAAACCTGTACCTTCACCAAGGGGAGAGGCTCAGTGGAGGGATGATTGGCATAAAAGCGAGGAGGAAGGTGCATGGGGGGAATGGCAGAGCAGCATGTGGGCTCAAAAGAGAGCTTGAGCTGAAACAGTGATGTGGCGGGTATGAAACCAAGGGCGTGGGCTTATCTTTGTGTGGAGCGTTGAGTGTCTTGCTGCCAATCCTTGCTGCCAGTCCTTGCTACTGAGACTTGGACGCGAGAACAGGCTTGGAGCAGAGAGCCTCGCAGTCAGGGGGGGATAGAGGGAGGACAGGGGGGGAGGGAAGAGGGGAGGGAGCGGGAATGAGTGAAGGGAAGGAATGGAGGACACAAGGGGCGGAATGCGTGCAAGTGCAGAGACCGATGTTGAGAACATGGGATGGCATGATACGCAGCATGCATGGTGCAGCGCTAACCCTCCCTCCACAGGAGCCAAGTACCAAACCTTCACCTTTCACCTGACCATAACCTGAACCTTTACCTGAAAAAAACCCTGAACCTTCACCAAGGGGGGATGACTCTGTGGAGGGGCGGTTGGTATGACAGTGAGGGGGAGGGAGGAGGGGGGAGGACACTGCTGGAAACATCAGCGATCGAAAAAGAGCGTGAAACGGAGTGGGCAAGAAACCACAGGCGTGGGCTTATCTTTGTGTGGACCGTTGAGGGAGCATTGCTGCTGCGCCTTGCTCCTGACCCTTGCTGCTGAGGCCTGGGCTGCAGGACAGGGTTGAAGCAGAGAGCCTGGCAGTCAGGGGTTGGGGCAGGAAAGGGTAGACGGGAGGGAAGAAGGAAGCAAGTGGGAGTGAAGGGCCAATGTGGAGGACGCAAGGGGTGGAACACATACATGTGCAGTGGTTGATGGTGTGAGAGCATGGGGTTGTATGAGAAAGGGCATGATGCAGTGCCAAACACGTCCTCCACAGGAGCCAAGTACCACACCTCGTACCTCAACCTACCTGGTACCTCCACCTCCCAACCTGAACCTTAACCTGAACCTGAACCAAGGGGGAGAGGCTCTATGGAGGGGCGGCTAGCACACCATCAAGGAGGGGTGGGATGGGAAGGAGATGGCAGCGCATGGCAAGGCAGATTGGCGGATGTAGGCTGCAGAAGCCAAGGGCGCTGGACTTATATGTTCATGGCACGTGCACAGGCGCTGCAGGCCTTAGCGCTTGCAGGGGTGCTGAAGGGCCTTGATGTTGCCTCGCTCGCGCCTATGAGTTGCCTTGCACCTTGTGCTGCCTCGAGTGCTGGCGAGCGGGGGGCCTCCAGAATAAAACCTGCCAGTGAAGGTTGGACGCAGAGATACATGCAACCGAGGCTGATCCATGCAAAAGGAGAACCAAGGGAAAGCTCTGCGTGTGTGCTGTAGGGGGTGAGTGGAAAGCTTGCAAGGTGCATCACAAGAGCCAAGAACCAAAAACGTACCTTTAAGGGCAACCTTTACCTGAACCTCAACCTCAACCTGCACCGAACGTACCTGTACCAAACCTCAACCTGTACCGAACTGGGGAGGGGGGGCTCTTGTGGTGTGTGGGTGGAGGTGTGAAGGGATACTCGCAACCTTGACCCTTCACTCCAAGCGTTTGGAGCTGCTCCTGTGCGCCACTGCAGCCCTCCACGTGGACGAACAGGTGCATGGCCCCACCAGCCGCTCACAGGTGGGCGAGCAGGGGCGCGGCCTCCAGCCCCACCAGCCGCTCACAGGTGCTGCCGCTGCCAGATGGGAGCAGGTGGACGAGCAGGTGCGCAGAGGAGGTGGGCCTGGCAGTCAGTCACGGGAGGGCGAGCAGGAGACACGAGAGAGGGGAGTGCACAGCGTGCAAAGACTCATTAGCCAAACCAAACTGACTGCCTGAGCACGAATGGGCAGTGGGAATGCTGTGAGCAGTGCATGGGATGGTGTGAGCAGTGCATGGGATGGTGTGAGCAGTGCATGGGATGGTGTGAGATGCGGCATGGTGCAGTGCTCGCCACGCCCTCCACAGGAGCCAAGTATTGAGACGTCTCAAAAGTTTTGAGACGTCTCAAAAGTAGCCAAGTACCAAACCTTGTACCTCATACCAGCCTCAACCTGAGCCAACCGTACCTTACCTGTCTGTACCTTAACCAAAGGGGGAGGCTCTGAGGAGAGGTGGCTTGCATGCAGGAAGCAAGGAAGAGATGCTGGCGGATGAGGATGGCGAATGACAGACATACATGCGGCGAGAAACAGGCAGAGAGAGGATCAAGCTGAGGAGACTTATCTGTGTGTGGGGCGAGTGAGGTGCCTCAACAGGCGATGCCGCGTGCACGGGTGGGTGGGTGCTGCAGGCGTGGTGCTCTCTTGAAGCGCGTTGGCTGGTGAAGGGCCTTGGCCTTCATTCCACAGGGCTGGGAGCTGCGCTGCTCTAATCTGCTCTGCTCTGCTCTGCTCTGCTCCTGTGCGCCACAGCACAGCAGCCCTCCACGTGGACTGTGGGGCGCCTTCACCCCCCACCAGCCGCCAACAGATGGGAGATTAGGAGCGCTCCCAGAGACTTGAGTATTGTGCCTTGGCCGAACAGGGGAGGGTTGGCCGAGGGAGAAAGAACCTGCCAGGTCAAACCAAGGGAGTGGGGGGGAGGAGGAGTGAGTGCATGGCAGCAGCAAATAATAATCGATGCAGAAAAAAGCTGTCCAAGTGTGGTGCGAAAAAAAACACTGCAAGTGTGCATGTGATCCCACCACAGCGCCACTCGAGCTATGCACCAGAAAAAACACCTTAAGGGGCACCTGAACCTGTCCTGTACCAAACCTGAACCTGAACCTTGACCTTGGGGGGGGGGGCTCTTGTGGACCATGGAGGGCTGGGGTGATACTTGCAACCTTCCAATCCAAGTGTTCGAAGGTGCTCCTCTTCTCCTCTGCTCGTCTCCTGCTGCAGCGGCCAACACAGTCAAGTGAACCTGCCAGAGAAGCGAGGAGAGAGTCAGTGAGTGCAGAACAACAGCCAACAATCCATGCGAGATAAAAACGAAGTGCTGTGAGAACAAAAAGGTGAGCGCATCACAGGACCACAGGAGCCAAAAAAAAAAACACCTCAGGGGCACCTGAACCTGAACCTGAACCGGGGGGGGGGGGGGGGCTCTTGTGGACCGTGGAGGGCTGGGGTGATACTTGCAACCTTCCAATCCAAGTGTTTGAAGGTGCTCCTCTTCTCCTCTGCTTCTCTTCTCTCCTGCTCCTCTCCTCTGCTCCTCTTCTCCTCCGCTCCTCTTCTCCGCTGCTCCTCTGCTGCTGGCGCCCACAAGCATAAGGGCCTTGGCGTTGAATTGGTCAAAAGAACCTGCAGGCGACAGCAAGAGGGAGTCAGTGAGTGCATGGCAAATGGAAACGAAAGATGCTGCAGCATGCTTGAAGAAGGCGGGAACATGTGCGAGCATGATATGCACCGGCCACAGCACCACAGGAGCCAAAGAAAAAAACACCTGAAGGGGCACCTGAACCTTAAACTTGACCAGGGGGGGTGGCTCTTGTGGACCGTGGAGGTTTGGGCGATACTTGCAACCTTCGATGGTGTCGAGTCTGCTTCTCTGATCCTCTGCTCCTCTCCTCAGCCGCTGTTGAAACCACCGTCACCAGCCTTGTGAGCAGAAGCGCCTTGGCGTTGGTGTGCTCACTCGAACCTGCCAGGGAAGCGAGGAAAGAGTAAGTGAGTGCATGACAGCAGGCAACGATCCATGCAAAAGAACACGTGAATGAAAACGATCTGCTCTGCTCTGCTCTGCTCTGCTCTTCTCTGCTCTGCTCTGCTCTGCTCTGCTCTTCTCTGCTCTGCTCTGCTCTGCTCTGCTCTGAGGTCAAGGGGTTGAGGGTATGAGTCAGAGACCAGCAGAAGCAAGAACGTGGCAGTGAGGTTTGAAGTTACATGATAGAGAAGCGAAGGGGTGTGGTCAGTCAATTCAGGTTTCAGGCAGTCTGTGTTTCAGTCAATTCAGGTTTCAGGCAGTCTGTGTTTCAGTCAAACAGGTTTCAGGAAGTCTGTGTTTCAGTCAAACAGGTTTCAGGCAGTCTGTGCTTCAGTCAAAACAGGTTTCAGGCAGTCTGTGTTTCAGTCAAACCAGGTTTCAGGCAATCTGTGTCTCAGTCAAATTAGGTTTCAGGCAGTCTGTGTTTCAGTCAAACCAGGTTTCAGGCAGTCTGCGTTTCTGTCAAGTCAGGTTTCAGGCAGTCCGTGTTTCAGTCAATCGAGGTTTCAGGCAGTCTGGGCTTCAGTCTAGTCAGGTATCAGGCAGTCTGTCTTTCAGTCAGTCCAGGATTCAGACAATCTGTGTTTCAGTCAAACCAGGTTTCAGGCAGTCTGTGATTCAGTCAATTCAGGTTTCAGGCAGTCTGTGTTTCAGTCAATTCAGGTTTCAGGCAGTCTGTGTTTCAGTCAATTCAGGTTTCAGGCAGTCTGTGTTTCAGTCAAACAGGTTTCAGGCAGTCTGTGTTTCAGTCAAACAGGTTTAAGGCAGTCTGTGCTTCAGTCAAAACAGGTTTCAGGCAGTCTGTGTTTCAGTCAAGCGAGGTTTCAGGCAATCTGTGTTTCAGTCAAGTCAGGTTTCAGGCAGTCTGTGTTTCAGTCAAGTCAGGTTTCAGGCAGTCTGTTTCAGTCAATTCAGGTTTCAGGCAGTCGGGGCTTCAGTCAAGTCCGGTTTCAGGCAGTCTGTGTTTCAGTCAAACCAGGTTGCAGTCTGTGTTTCAGTCAATCGAGGTTTCAGGCAGTCTGGGCTTCAGTCAAACCAGGTTTCAAGCAGCCTGTGTTTCAGTCAAGTCAGGTTTCAGGCAGTCGGTATTTCAGTCGATCCAGGTTTAAGGCAGTCAGTGTTTCAATCAAACCAGGCTTCAGGCAGTCTGTGTTTCAGTCAAACCAGGCTTCAGGCAGTCTGTGTTTCAGTCAATCTAGGTTTCAGGCAGTCTGTGTTTCAGTCAAGTCAGGTTTCAGGCAGTCTGTGTTTCAGTCAATCGAGGTTTCAGGCAGTCTGGGCTTCGGTCAAGTCAGGTTTCAGGCAGTCTGTGTTTCAGTCAAACCAGGTTTCAAGCAGTCTGTGTTTCAATCAATCGAGGTTTCAGGCAGTCTGGGCTTCAGTCAAGTCAGGTTTCAGGCAGTCAGTATTTTAGCCAAACCAGGTTTCGGGCAGTCTGTGTTTCAGTCAGTCCAGGTTCCAGGCAGTCTGTGTTTCAGGCAATTATGCGCCAACCTCAGGAGCATGCATGCAGTGAGTGTGTGAGGCGAAGAGTTATCTTGGGGTGGGAGACGCAGAGAGCGCCGCGTGTGACGGCAGAGAGCGGGCCCGAAATTGGAGGTCGCGAGAGAGGTTGAGGCACCCACTAGCGCGGCAGCCGCCCACGGGGATGGGAACGGCGTGGCGCACGGCGTGCTGTAGAGGGTGGAAAAGAAAGACGCGGCCACAGCGTGAGTCATAAAAGTGGTTCGCGTTAGAAAAGAAATCGATCTGCGAAATTAGATCGCGACATCAAATTCCGGAATCTGATAGCGGAATTGAAACGGGAAGCTGAAACGCGACAACCGTGTGCGAAATCGATCAGTGAAGCGGAAAAGATTGAAACGAGACACAAAAAGGAAAAGGGACAACGCGACGCGCGGCATACGGAATACTGTACTCGTCCGCGAAATGGAATTGCGAAATAGACAGCCGCATGGGTGTGGCTTTCGAAAATACCTGAGCTGCCAGATGGCGTTGGAGGTTCAAGTGACACGTCGCCTCTGCAACAAACCTGCAACATGCAACCAGCATGGAGTCGTCACGTCGGACGCGCCACTGAGCAATGTGCTACAACGAAAGCATATCACACCACTAAATAAGACTTGGAAACTGAAAAAAAAGCACATGCACTCAAAATTACCTTGTTTTAGAAAAATCGCCATATCCGCACTTGTTCTTCCATGATGGTCATTGATTTTTTTGCCAAAGTCTACAGGCTTCATGACGCCAACACCCGATTTTCTCTTCCCATAATCGAAGTTTCTATGTCGAAGCTAGACCCGATAAGCAGAACGCCTCCTGCCTGCGTTGAAATTGATCTTCGCTATCGGTTCGCCTTTTCGCCGCCGCAGCAAAGGAAACGAGCAGAAGAAGCTGAGCGTGAGAAAATGAGAGCAAGAGGCGAAACCGCTGTAAGATCCGAGGCTCAGGCGATAATGAATGAGGCGAGAGACGACTGTCACGTTGGAATGAGGCGAGGGGTCGGCAACTGCCTCTCCTCTCCGTCTCTCACAGCAACTCTCTTCAGATCTACCGTCCAGAATCACTGGATTGTCTGAAACGCTTTTGGTAACTCAGATCGCAGCCGTTGTTCGGGCCTTTTGCGTGTTTCGTCACGTCAACCCTAGCCAGTTCCTCATTGGTCTACAGGTCACGTGGAACAATGACCGCGGCTGCGAATGGTTGGTCTGGTCGGGCTCTTTTTTTGTCCATGACAGGGAAATTCGAGATTCCACTTCGGTGGCTGGTTGAAAATCGTCCGCGTGGCACATGTGAATCTGCCGGTCAGGAAAGGGAAAAGAAAACTGCCTAGTTTACGCTGTTCGCTTGTCCCCTCCTTTCACCTCAGCGGCTACGCGAATCGAACAACACCGCTTTCTTTGGCGAGTTTCCGTTGACAAAGGCGGGAGTCGCGGGATTTCGCTGGTGAACGTTGGACTCAATGACCTAGGAGCCGTCGATTGCCCTCCCATCTGAAGCCGCAGAGTGATCGCCCGAGTTTGAAATGCGGCAAAACCCACTGGTTTGAGTTTGAATCTGTTTTCCAACCACTAGAAGCGAGGTGAATTGTAGCCGTGGATACGAATTCTATGCGAGCAGCTGCGGTTGAGATCTGCGGTTGAAGCCATCCACTCTCTAACGCTGGTCTGTAGGTTGCAGAGGTTGAGCCAAGTGGGCGAAAATGGCGAAGAATATCCGCTTCGCACCACTGTTACTCGTCGCTGATTTGACTGAGGAACTGATCTACTGACACCTGCTGGATCCACTCTATTGCGCAATGCAAAATTTACTCCCAGATCTATAGATTTCCTAGCATCCAATATACAATTTTGAGTTAAAAATAATGTGTGCTGTGTTACTGAATCATCTTGTTGGGTTGAAGCATCCGTCACAGCTCCATCGTGGATAACCACCCTTGACAGAAACAAATCTGAAGATCGTGGTTGGCACGCCCAAGCCAAGCTGCCAAGCTCTGGTTTTGCCAAACGAGTCTTCGCTGGGAAACTTGCTTCGGAAAATCGGGTTTGCCTCAAGCTTTTTCCGAAGCTGAGTTGCTATCAAGTACGGTGTGGTGAAACAAACAGCAAGCAGGCTCGGCAACTCTACGAAAATTTAGACTCTATCCATACTAGTGAACTTGGTTCGGCCTGCTTCACCAAGTCCCTTTCTCTATCAGCAAGTTCTATCCACGTATTAGTCTTCAGAAAGGTTTGGAACGGTTGAAAACGGTCTCAAACACTAACCGTTTAAAAATGCACATTAACGTACTCAACCGTTTTCAGCTGGATTCTCGTACCATGCCTCCACTCCACACACCCACTACCCACATGACTGGCTTCCTGGCTCAAGTAACTCTCTTTTATCTCCATCAGGAGGATCTAAGTGCCCTAGGGAGTATATCGCGCTCTAGCCTTCACCTCCCTTACCCTTTCGCATTTATTTGAACCGTGAACGACGCTTAGCTTGGTTGCGTCAAGGAGCCAGCCATGGCGACGTTCGCCAAGCCAGAGAATGCGCTGAAGCGCGCAGAAGGTCAGCAACGTCTCTTTGCCCTAGGAACCTCCACTTGCTGCTAGTCACGTGATCAGTATCAGAAACGGGCGTTATTTTTGCCGCATGAACAAAATATAGGGATCGTCAGGCACGTTAAATGTCTGTGTCATTCCTTCAGCGAGATACGCCATGTCGTTCAGTCTACGCGCGATTCAAGATCGTTAGTGAGCAGTATCGGCAAACAGCATATGATCGACCCTGTCATGTTGGATCTTTGTGAATCTGTTGATTCGCGAGATTCATTTGTATCGCGTAGAGCCTTCGTTGCTACGCGATGCCATCTCTTGGTAGCGACATGGCGGATAACCCTTCACGAGGAAGATTTGCCCTAGTTAGGGTTTCGTGGACGGGGTAGCATTTCAAAGTTTACTGACTCCTTTCTGACGCGTGGATTCAGTCGAGAGACGTTAGGTGACGTAGTACTGATTGAGCTACTTAATCAGCGTTATCGTTAACGGCCTTTTCGTGCTGGGGCCTGAGTCGTCAATAGAGACTTGCGAAGTGCACATTGAAAGGAACAGGCGGGACCGCGGTGGATGAAAATTTGATCAAATTGCTATCAAGTTGATTCTTCAGCCTAGGGCCAATCCAGTCCAGGGTCATCTCAGCCTAGGGTTAAC